AAACATGCAGAGGAAAATGACAGTTCTGGACAAATTCTGCCATTATGTGAAAGTAACCCTTGTCCTGCCTGTAAGGAGAGACTCCCAGCACAGCCTGGTAAACCTCATCCTTCAGGCTGGCGTACTGCCTACAAAAAAGCAGTCTCTTGTGTTGCAAGAAAGACTCTGACAACATCACATAGGGTTTGTAAGAGCAGATACTCAAGAAAGTCTTGAACAAAGTCCCAAGGGAGCCTCTCCACTGTAGGATAAAGAGAAAACGGACTGTGTAAGCAGAATAACACAAAAATATTTTTGCATATGGATTTCTTATGGAAAAACAGATAGCCCACTCCTGCTGAGAAGACACAGAAAAGGAAAAAAATGCTGATATATTTAAACAGAAGGCTTTTCCACTCAGCTTTCCAAATCAATCTCCTTAAGAGCTCTGAATCTGGCTGAATATTTTATTTTGGTGAATGTCATCGAGCCAGCATTCAGGCAGCTGGACACAGCAATGCAAAAGCCAGGAAAAAAAGTTGACTTTTATTCTAGACAAGCATCCAGAAGACCTGGTAGAATGCAAGAACAAAGATTTCAAGAGATCTCATTGTATCATCCACCCCTCCCTTTGCACAAATAACACTACCAGCTCAAGTCTGTCTCATTTTGCCAGAAACCCGATAGCATCAAGATGAGTAAAAAGTAACACAGCAAGCCAGGGGATGGGAAAGTGGGAAAGGCCTCCCAGTGGAAAATGGATATATTACCCTTCTGAAAATGAATGTTTGAAATGCAGAGTTCCGGCATGCAGCAAGTAGATTTATCTCTAGGAATTCCCATTTACAGCATATTCCCCTGGGTGCTCAAGAAATGCCTGCTAATTTGCCAAGAAGCTCTAAAGACCAGGAACACGCACAACCACCGCTGCAGGAGGATGCTGACTGCACCAGTTACAGCAAATAATCATGTTCCTTCTTGCCTCCTGAAATAGTATACAGCTGCACTGTTGTTTGTTGGTACTTGTACTTCTGAAAAGGCAGGAATGCTCTGCATGTTAAGTGGTAGACTGTCAGCTTTATGACCATTAATGAGCTCCTCAAGGAGTCTGAATTTGAAGTTAATGCAGATAATTTCACACAGGAATGGGAGCTATCAAACAGATTTGGCCACAGGAATCAGAAACTAATACAGCTCAGGAATTTATTGCAGAAGAGCAAACAGTGCATATACACAACAGGCAGACAAAAAATACTAGGATATCGTGTTGCTTTATAAAGCTTGGGGGATGTATAGCAGGCTACAAGGCACAAGAGACTGCAGTTATGTCCAAAGGAACAGGTTTCCATGACACATTTGTGAAAGAAGACAGACAGTTGATGAGATGTACCATTGTTTGAAGTCTCTTTTTGAAGACAGAGTCCAGGTCAACAAAAGATCTGTGGTAATCTGATAAGATCTACACTCCAAGTCAGAAGATTTGCCTATTGACTTCAAAACAAAGATCTTTTTAATTATGCTAAATGAGTTCACTCCACAAAGTGATTTCCTTGTAGTAAGTCCAAAAGCTGAAACATGGACAGACAGGTACTTTCTGCTTCCTTCAAGCAAGCTGTTCCGACTGTAAAACACATCCAGAGTGGTTATCAGCATCAAGAAAAGACCAGAACGCCAGGACAAATGAGGTGTTCTCATCACAGATTTGAGCTGAGTGGAGGTTGGGTGAACTGACACAAACATTAAAATAAATAAATGAAAATCAAGATGACTCCTGAAACAGTCCTAAAACCCTGAGGTACTACCAAGGACAGAATCACTATCCCAAATGAAAAACTTCCCACAGAGGTGTCAATACAACAAAGGCTTAGCACAAACCTCTGCCTTCAAAATTACTAACAGGATTAAAATCTGCTGGGCTGAAATAATTACATGGAACCTCCTCCACTATGGTCAGCCCTAGTAAAAAAAATAAATAAATACAGCAGGTTGTTTTTCTGCTGTCATTGTTTTTGTTTTGTAGTTTCTTTTAGTAATGCTCCTTGAAAAGGCTTCAAGATGACCAGTGAGCTGAATGAGACACCCATTGTAACAGCTGACCCCACACTTTTGAGATGAGCCAAGCTTCCAGAAAAGTAGAACACAGTTGCCAGCCCAGGGTGAAGGAAAACACAAGATTAGTTCTATTAAATGCTCTTTTTCTTATCAACCATGGCCGTGTATGAAAGGCTTCCAATTCCAGAACAGAGGAAAAGGCTGAGGATACAATGCATTTTGTCTCTTCTCCTGTAGCTCGAAGGTTTTCAGTTAACAGCAAACAAAGAACTGTCCGAAGGGAGACTGTTGACAGACATCTTCCTGATGGTTAAGATCCAGCAATAACATATCTGAACTGTTTAAGGCGTGGAAGGCCTCACCCTTCTGCTGCTGAAAAGCTCACTGCCTTCAGTCAGAAGATTCTATTTCTTATTCGTCTCCAGGGATGTCCAAGGATTGGAACCTTTATGATCTCTCCACAACTGTTACAATGCCTGTGACATTAGCCATACTAAGCACAACCACACTAAGTTACAATCTATCAAGCCCTACCTGCAGCAGCCGTACCACATGCTTCCATCCTTTTCCAGGCAGGGAATCAGTTCATAAAGGAGGACAGCCAATTGTGGTGAGAGAACAATTAGAGTGAGCCACTCTCACCTGGAAGCAAACCAGTGTTAACACCCGCTTGCCCCACCAGCTAGCTTCTAAGATTTTCTTTGCCTATAAGTCCCATTGTTACTTTGGTTTTTTACATTACCAAAATAAATGCATAAAAAGCTACATTTGCTTTGCAAACATCTAGCATCTCCTGTCAGGCCTTTCTAGTGCTTCAATGACAGATGGAAGAAAGCACAGATGAAACCACCTGCTGCTGAGGTCTCTTGCCAATTGGGAGTGTCATAGGACTCACTGGTAAAGCAAGATCACCTCTTACCTCCTGAGCTTCTTCACAGGGTACATTCAGCTCTTTATTATGCAAGAGCTGAGATTTTTTCGAGGGAGCCTTCCTGCACTAAAAGGGAACTTAATAAGCAGGAGGAAGACTGACTTTGTATACAGTCTGATAGTGATAGGACAAGACAAGGGCAAATGGTTTTAAACTAAAAGAAGGGACATTTAAGTTAGATACAAGAAAGAATTTTTTCAACTCAGAGGGCAGTGAGGCCCTGGCACAGCTGCCCAGAAGTTGTGGGTTCCCCATCCCTGGAGGTGCTGAAGGCCAGGCTGGATGGGGACCTGGGCAGCCTGAGCTGGTGGGGGCAGCCCTGCACATGGCAGGGGCTGGGACTGGGTGGGCTTTAAGGCCCCTTCCCACCCAAGGCACGTGGTGATTTTAGAATAATTTCAGCTAGCCACATGAAATAGACACAGATGACTGCCCAGCCTCAACTGGATGAGAGACATCTTGGCGAGTATCAGTTATTCCTCTTACTGTAAATATTCTTCATTCTCCCAGTATCTTTTTGGCAGCGCCAAAAAGAGTTGGTCTGAGTTGCCAGCGAACAGTGATTTAACTCTAGAAACCAGAGCACTCAGTTTTCTCCTGAGGTGGCAGGGAAGCAGAACAAAGAGGATGAACCCTATAGAGTTTAGGCCTGTCCTTAGTATGGGCCTTTCCTTCCACAAATTCCCTCCCAGAATTCCTCTTGACCTCCTAGCATATCCAGGGGGAGAAGAACATGTAGGTGGGAAGAGATGATTCTGTTATGCTGATCAAAGGAAAAAAGGAAGTTACTTTCTTCGGGGGGTGGGGGGAAGGGGAGAAGGGAAAAAAAAAAAAAAAAAGGATATTCAGTATAATTGTAAGACACGCTGTAATGGTATGTTTTCAACAACAGAGCAGGGACTCAAAGGAAACAAATCCCCAGAAAATACTTTGGGACTGATGAGTGTGATACAGCAACTCAGTATAACGTGAGAGTTCCATCATGACACAGAGCAGCAGCCACTCCTAAGACAGAAGGCCCAGGGCTCACAAACTTGAAGTTCAGTTGGTATCTGAGTTCTCAACAAAGCAAATTGGTCTTGCAGTTCAAAGAAACCAAGGATATGGTATGCTGAAAATTGATACACAGGCACTGCAAAAACCAAAGTATTATTCTCATTTACAAATTTACAAATATCACAGTCAGTAAACTGAAAGTCTTAGGAGCTTTTTGTCCATTGACAGGTGACAGGGAGAACACTGTATGTCTTTTCTTGACTGGTGCTCACTTTGGCAGGAAATGCCTAATGGGAGCCATGTAAACATCACAGAGAGTGAACTCCCAGGTAGAATTTGAGGATTCTGCAGCACTAAGCAAGATATCAAATCAAAAGGTTCAGCTCTTATCTTCCTTGTTATTACAGGATAGTGCCTCACCCTCCTGTGAGAGAAGGGTTCCAGGCAGCCTTCTACTTTTTGAAGAGCTACTGACAAGAACAGACTCTGAACAAAAGTCCATCTCCAAAGTCAAACAGGAAATGAATTTGCACATTATCACAAAGCCTCACATGCTGCAAAGCTGGCTCCTAGCATGACCTCTGTAGCCTGTGAGCAGAGGAATGGAAAAATACTGTTGCTATACAAGCTTGATACTGACCACCAGAAACCGTACTCTGGCTCCTGTGGAAGCCAGATGCAAACGAGAAGTATCTGCTTACCTATACTCTCTGCCTTGCTACCACGGGTGGTGAAGCACTGGTAACAAAACAATAAGACCACGTGTATGTATGGGAAGATACGCATGGGCAGGAGGAAGAGGTCCCAGTCTGCTTGTTACTGCTCCATACCTCACCATGAGGAACCAGACCCCCATTTAGCAGCTCTGCGACCCCAGCACGTGGTGCCGAAGGCAGCAGGAGGGAAGGGGCAGGGCAGCCGCGCGGGTCCAACTCTAAGGATAAACTTCGAAGGGTAAGCACGTAATGAGGGAACGAATCTCAGCAGACAATAACAAGCTTCCGTGAGGGACACAGCGAGGATCTCCCGGAGGGACACCCACCTCTCCCGCGGACGCAGAAGAGGAGTTCTTCCTGCTGAGGCTCTCACCAGAGAAGAGGTCCTGGCGAGCCCGCCGGCCCATCCTGGGCACCTGTGGCAGAGGGGGAAACGCAAAGGGACGAAAGGCACGCAGTTACCGACACGAACGGCTTCGGGTGGCCCGCAGAACGGCGGCCAGAGCCGCGGGAGAGTCGGAGGGGAACGCGAACGCCGCCCCCCGCCCGCAGCACCGCGGGCCCGCTCACCCCCGCCCGGCGGGGCGCCTCTGCCCGTTCCCGCTCTGCCTCCATCCGCCGCCGCCACCGCCGCTTCCGGCACTCGGCCCGCCCCGCGTCCTTAGCAACCGGCACCGGGCCCGCCCCAGCCCGGCCCCCCGCCTGCCCGGCCCCGCAGGTAGCGTGGCTGCGGATGGGCCCCGCGCGAGCTACACGCATTAAACAAGGTCCCGGCCGCCGGCGCTCTGCCTATGTGCTGCATTTCTCTGCTTTCTCTGACACCCCTCGCAGCCTCCAGCCATCCTCGTTAGCTTAAGCAGCCACCACCCTCTAATTCTGCTGCGGCAGCCGAAGGCTGCTCCCCGCCCGTTGCTCCACGGGCAGCGTTCTGCCTGCCCGGCTTCGCTGGGAGCTGTGGTCCGGCTGGAGGCCTTTCGGAGCTCTAAAGACGTTGTGACAGAGAACCCTCTTTCTGCCTCTTGTCTGCGTTTTCAAGCAGCTGTGCTGTAGCTGTGATGAGCCGAGAACTAAGTGATATGAGGTCTGTAGGCAGAGGCAATAGCTTTTTATGAGACCCACTGATGCAGCTGGAAAAAGCCATACACGCAGTACGTCTGTGCCCAAAAGCTTGTCTATTTTTTCCAGCTGTATCAATTGCTCTAATAGAAGCTACTATCTGTCCTTTTACGTTCAAGGAGCTCAGTAAGCGAGACGTGGTTTTCCTCCCCTGAAGCCAGGCCGGTTGGGCGCTGTGACACCGTGATCCCCCAGACTGCGGTGATTCTGTGTCAGTGACACACTCAGTACCCACACCAGGCAGAAGGGCACCACTCACTGTCCCCACACTTCACCATAGGAGCCACAAGCACACAGCCCTGCATCTCCTGCCCCCTCTCCGACAGGCAGCCGCAGGGTGCTGCAGCCACAGGAGGGGTCAGAACAGGTCACAGAACAGCAGGACCCGTGGGTTCACTCACCTGGCCACGCGGAGCAGGACTTGCAGAGCCCTCCAGCACCGTGCTGCTGACTGCTTCTTAACCGGGCCTATGAACAGAACTGTGTCTTGTCCTCCACCTGCACAGAGGAAGTCTGAGGAGCCTGCACGTTGCTCAGTGAGAGAGAACAACGGCCATCTTAGTTGGGGTGCTGAAGGGCAGCTAGCTGGGCTCTTGGCCTGACATGGGAGACTGCAGGCATCGTGTTGCTGCAGGGAGACATGGCAACCCATAGCTGCCATAGCAAGAGACAGCTGCCCTACCCCCTCAGGACATCTCAGTCGCCCTCGTGCTGACAAAGCTCCCAGCCTTGGGTGAGCAGCCAATATCATTCACACATCCATTGCAGTATGCCAAGATCCTTATTGACACCTACACCCGGGCCCAGGCACGGAGGAGCTGCCTTCATCAGCTCACAATTCCCATTCCTATCTCCGCACTGTCCAATAACTCACCACGTGGCACTGCTGCAAGTGAGCTGCAGCAACCCGGAGCCACCAGTGCTACGGGTCAGCATGGCCTCCAATATGTGACCCCTCGAGTGCAATGCTTCCAGCCACCCTCTGAGCTCCCACAGAGCCTCTTCCACACCTGGCAGCTGCAGCTCGAGCAGGGGATCCCAGCAGCAGCAAATCCCCACCAGCCACGCTCCCAACTCAGATCCACGTTGCTGGAAAAGCATCTCCCCGGGCACCACGCTGGCCACAAGGGCGTTGGGCCACCCTTCAGCATCCCTAGGGCACACCCGAGCTCTCGGAGGGCCCGGCAGCGGGCACGGGGCCCGCGGGCTGCGGGCAGGTGGGGAGAGACAGGCGGGGCGGGTGGGCAGCGGGCCGTGCCCCGGGAGAGGAGCCCACGGAGGCCTGAGGGTGTGATCCCAACCCGCGACCCGGGCCGGGTGGGCGCCCGGGGCCGACGTCCTGCCCGCCGGAGCCCATCTGCGGGCCGCGGGCTCGCGAGGCGGCTGCCCCGGCCCCTCCGCCGGCCGCCAGCGCGGGGCCCCGCGGCGCCCACCAGCGCCTCTGGGGCCGCACGCCCCACTGGTCCCCGGCCCCTCCCTCCCCCGCTCGGAAAGAAACCGCATCGGGAAACTATTCGGGGTATTTCTGCCGCTTTTAACGCGATCTCGCCGCTCTGGAAAGGGGCGGAGCGGCGGACCACCGCGAAGGGCCCGGCCCCGGCCCGCCCGCCGCCAGAAGGGGGCGCCCGCGCGCCGCCGCCGCGGAGGCCGCCTCGGCCACGTCGGAGGGGCCCAGCCCGGGGCGCGGGGCCCGGCGCCGCCGTCCGCGCGGGGGGCGGCGGCGGAGGAGGAGGAGGAGGCGGAGGGCGGCGATCGCCGCGCGCCTGCTGAAGCCATCAGCGCGGCGCCGCGGGCGAAGGCCGGGCTTGGAGCTCCCTCCCCCGCGCGAGCCCCGTCCCGGGGACGTCATGGGAGGGAGGTATAAAATTTCAGCGGCGAGCGCGGCGGCGGGGCAGTGTGCAGGCGGGGCCGGGGCGCGGCGCTGCGCTCGGCCGGCGGAGCCCGCGGGCGGCGCGGCGATGTAGGGCGCGGGGCGCGGCGGGGGCATGCATGGTGCAGCGAGAGGGGCGGGCGCCGCGCTCCCCTCGCGGCGGCGGAGCGGCCCGGCCCGCTGCTGACACGCGCGGCGGCGCGGCGCGGCGGGGCGCTCCCGGCTCCGCGGGGCGCGGGGCGGCGCATGGGGAAGGAGCGCGGCGCGGCGAGGCACGGCGCCGGCCGCTTCCCCCGGCGGAGCGCTGCCAGCTCTTCCTGGAAGTCGTGAGTCGCGCGCGGCGCGGTGAGTTCATGCGCCTCCGCGCCAAGCCCCAGCCCGCGGGATCTGGGGAGGCCGCCGCCGGAGCACCGCCCGGGGCCCCGCGCCCGCCGCTCGCCGCCGCCCGGGGGGCTCTCCCCGGGGGCACCGCCGCCGCCGCCGCCCCCTCGCACATGAAGATGTACGCGCAAAGGGCTCTGGTGCTGCTCTCGCTGCTGAGCTTCGCCACCGTGAGCCTCGCGCTGTCCTCCTGCACCACCTTGGACCTCGAGCACATCAAGAAGAAGCGGGTGGAGGCCATCCGGGGGCAGATCCTGAGCAAGCTGCGGCTCACCAGCCCCCCGGAGAGCGTGGGGCCGGCCCACGTGCCCTACCAGATCCTGGCGCTCTACAACAGCACCCGCGAGCTGCTGGAGGAGATGGAGGAGGAGAAGGAGGAGAGCTGCTCTCAGGAGAACACCGAGTCCGAGTACTATGCCAAAGAGATCCATAAATTTGACATGATCCAGGGCCTCCCCGAGCACAGTAAGCGCCAGGCGCGCAGCGCACGGAGGGGAGGCCGGGGGAAGCGGGGAGCTGCGGCGAGCGCCCGCGTCCGGAGCGCCGGCGTCGCGTTGCGGGAGGGGGGCCGGCGCGGCTCTGGGGCTGAGCGCGGCGTGCGGGGTTCGGAGGGAGCGGAGCTCCGCTGCGTGAGGAACGGGCGGCCCGAGCCCCAGCTTTCGGAGCCCTCCGTGCCCAGCGGCGGTGCGCGGTGTGCCCGGCTCCGCGCCGGCTCCGGGAAGGCGGAGGCGCTCGGCGAAAGGCGCCTGCGTGGAGGATGCCGCTCCGGTAGCGGTGGGGGAATCGCGGGCGGCGGGGGTGCCGAGCAGGTGCAGAGCTGAGATTCGCTGGGACGCCCTGAGGAGCGCGGGCGCTGAGGAAACGGACAGATGTGGAGCAGGTGCAGTGCACATGAGCGGGGCCAGATGCAGGCACTAAGCAGATTCAGGTGCGGGAGCTGAGCAGATGCAGATGCGAAGTCAGAGGGCGAGCAGACACGAACCCCAAGTAGATCGCATATGCGGAGCAGATGTAGGCACTGGCGATCCCTTCCGTCTGTGCTTAGGATCTCTTCGGATGGGAAGATGTTGGTGGGCGCACAGTCACACCACCCTCCAGGTGTCCCCTCGTGATGGAGCGCTGTGCTGGGGACGCAATCTCGGTGCCGGCAGCCCTGGGGTGGAGCTGGGACTTGGTGCAGGCAGCCCCAGAATGCAGCTCCTCTGCCAGGTTTATGTTAATCTTGACATATGATGAGTTGGAATCAGAGCTGCGATGTGGTAATGCAACAAATTTCACTTAATCTCTAGCAAACTACACTCCATATGGTTATATGATTAGCTCTCAGTTCAGGAGGCGCTCAGACTCAAGGCACAGAAAATGCACAGAATATTCACGGCTTTCCCATATTTCAACATTTTTGACTCACCAATGTGTTGTGAAGTTCTATAAATACATGTCTGTGCAAAATGACACCGATGTGGTGTGAGCTGGTGTGCTTTGAAGGAGGAAACCAGAAAGCATGGCGGTGGGTCATGAATACAGAATGGGTTTGGGTGAAGGAGGGGGAAGAAGGAAGATGTGTGTGAGGAGCACTGAGGCAGTGGAAAGGGACAGTGAGATGGAGTGTGAGAAGAGCTTGGGGCAGCAGTGGGTGCTGCCGGTGAGATTACTGCAAGTAAACTGCCGCGGGCTCAGCCACTGTCCACCACATGCAAGGTAACCTCGCAGTGCCTATGGAAATGAATGAGCCTGCCCTGGTCTCTCTATGGTGCCACACCAAGGTGCTGAGCAGTGAGCCCGTGTTGTGCTGATAATGCATTCTATGCAGCCCCTCTGCCCAGAGAAGAGGGGGTGTGTGGGTTGGTCACAGAGGCCAGCCCCAGGCAGGCCGTGGTGTTGAGAGACACTCCTCTTCAAACCTAGGGAGTTTCATCGCATGCACCATGGCTGAGTTTGGCCCCGTATCTTCAGAAGTGGCTGATGTTCAACTTTCCCATGGCTCTGTCACTGTGCCAGGTGGTGATCTCAGAGCAGCTGGAGCCAAAGCCAGGCTCCTCTGGGGGGAAGGGGAGGATGGCTCCATCGAGGGAACTGAGGATGATAGAGATGAGTTTGAAATGTGCACGCATGCACGAACTGTTCTAGCTCCAGAGTATTAGTCAAGCAGTTTGTTGGCTCAGAGAACTTGTATTTCTCCAAAAACTAAGGCCCAACAGTGAGGAAAGCTGAGGAGCAAAAATAGCAGCAGGGAGAGCCCAGGCCTTCTAGGAAGGAAGGACTTCCAGGAGCCTGTCCCCAGTCTGGGCTGCTGGGTGGTTCAGGGAATCGTCTTCCTGCCATGCTTGTGGGACACACTGATTTACAAGGAACGTTTTCTGAGAGTAGCTCGCACTCACTTCAGAGAGCTCCTAAAACTCATGGGGGATTAGATTCAAGCACGGGAAGCTCCTGCAGTGGTTCTGCAAGTGGCTTTACTGACCTTCTGGAAGAAAACTGTGCCATCTCCCAAGTCAGCATAAGAGAGGAGACAATTAAAGCTGTGGGTCTTGGGGCCGAGTGTGTTTTCTGTCCAAACCTGCTGCCTGCAAAGTTCCAGAAGGATCTGTTTTTCCTCCTGAGTTACACAGCTTTGACGTTAAGCACCTTTTGGTAGCAGTGGTGTGGCACAGAGTGAGTGATACCGGCCTGCAGCCAGCCAGCCCTTCCCTGACATCAAACTCCAAGCAGACAGCAGTCAGCTGTCACGAGGCATACCAGGATCAGCAGCCATGTGGGATTGGTGGCATGTGGAGAACCTGCACCTCCCTGAAGGCAGTGATTGGAAGAGGGGAGTTCCCAGAGAACATCTCCTTGTGTCCCATCCTCCACTCCAAGGCCCTGCTGGTCCCATTATCTGTTCTATCAGCAGCTCAGCAGTTGGCTAGACTCCACAGTCATAGCACAGTCTCATCATGAAGGTACAGCGTGTCATTTCAGGCAGACTGCTGTAGGTACATGGGTGGCACAGATTTCCTTCTCTTGGCCTTATTGCAGACACTGAGTGTTGTGGCTTGGAGGAGCTTGCAGGAATATTGCTTCTAGGCTTTCTTCTTTGCTGTTATCTGGGCAATTCTAGATCCTGGTGTATTAATGTGTCCTGAGCTGGGACAGGACTGAGTTCCCTGAAAACATCACTTAGCTGTGCACACCTCTGACCTCTTAACTTAAGGATTTTGCTCGAAAAGCAGAGATCTTTCTGGGAGTGAGACCTGTATTATGGACATCTGGCAGTGAGAAGCAGGCTCCAACCTTGCAGTGGTCAGGATGAAACAACAGCTCCATCTCCTCCATCACAGGGGGCTTGTTCCCAGGGCCACATGAACCTGCTATGTTAGGGAAGGAAAGACAGTTCTTATTGTTCCCACCAGGAAGGTCTCCAAAACACCATTAGAAATAGGTAGGAGGCACTGCAGTGATAGCAAGAGAATACAGAAGATGGCCATTCATTAGCATGGCTGCCTCACTGAGCCAAAAAATATAAGAAGCTGACAAACAATAAATGATTTTGTCTCTCATCTGCACTGTGCTGTAGGACCAGATTTGGACCAGATTTACAGTCTCTAAATCGATTATCAGATAAAGTACCAATGTTGTAAATGGACTGTGGGCTAGGCTGGCCACTGGTATGATCTGCAGGCACTTGTGATGATTGGTGGAACACCCCCTCACACACAAGCGGTCGGCTCAGAAATGGAAGGGCAGGCTGTTAACAGCGCTATTAATAGGGCAAGCATTACAAAACAGCTTAAGAGGGTATTAAAACAGTGTATCCACCTAGGTCTAACAGAACATTAGCAGTGCTAGTCTTCAGCTAGAAGGATGCCCTTGGGCACATAATGAGATCAGAGCTTGCTGGTCTGTGCTTATCTGTGGCACAAACTGGTCACAGTGGTGGAGTCCCCATGGCTGGTGTCCTCTCCCGGCTCAGTGCTCTCCGTGCTGTAGGGCTCTTGGTCTGAATGTGCCAGCATTTTGCTGCAATTGGTCTGGTCTCCTGAGGCTGCAA